TCCCCCCCCCCCCAGCCACTGTCGGTCCTCCACATTCAGTTAAAACAAAGTCATCAGAAAATACACTACGAAATCCTCTGTTTCGACCAAAATGCTTCCCAATCTGAGATAAAGGCAGTATTCCGAAGTCTAGCAAAACTATACCATCCAGACACCACTTCTTCAGATCGTAATGGTCAAGATTTCATAGATATCCACAATGCTTATGCAACCTTATCTGATCCTGCAGCTAGGGGTAGCTACGACTGCAGCTCCATCTTATCAATTCAGACATTCTACTTCAAACACTTTTCAGGGACTTCGAACAACGAGGAGGTGGGAAACTGATCAATGTTGGCAGGCAACCTAGCTAGCTATTTGCTCATAATGTAATTTCTACTATCAGCAAGGGAATCATATTTTTTCCCTGAATTTTCTGATACAAAAAGATTAAAAGCACTGAAATTTGGTCAAATAAAACTATGAACTGAAACCACAAGAGTGCAGAAAGCTGCATTCTATTGAGTTCCCTCTTTGAAACTAGCAAACAATGAAATCAGATTCACACAAACTAATTCAACCAAATCATATCAACACCAATTCCTTGAAATTTTCTACAACCTTAAGAAAACCGAAAAATGGTATATTACATGGCTTGGCTTTTCCTTTTTCCTTTTTTGTGTTACCATGAATTACCGAACTGTGGATCAATATAAAAAAGAAAAATGGGAGTACAAAATCATAGTACTCGTTAAAAAAAGAACAGCACCAATTTTGCCAAGGATGAAAAAGACAAGCATTCAAAGACAATTCAAAGCTATAGAAGTGTAACAATATTGATAGGAAACTAATCCAATCCATGTAGATTCCGATACTTGTATATGAAAGTAAGGACCGTAGCAGTGTTTTCCCATGGTTCTGTATATGAGAATTTGAGGGGGGCATTTGTTTTCATCTCAGACATGAGGCAATGCCAGTGCTTGCAGACCGAGGAGCACAGAATCAGATTTTCGTTGTTGCAATTTCCTCCTGAACATGTTTTCTTTCAATCTTGCAGGAGATGCTCTTCTCAGCGTGACAACATCCTGATTTCGGCTGTCATCTGTTGGAGGAATGGAATTCTTCAGTACATGAGATGTACCTCTCTCATATAAATGCAGTACGGTCCAACATTAATTTTGATGTAGGGTTTCCTTTTCTCTGTCTAGTTTTCATGTTTTGACAGGCCAGGGAAATTTTCAATGGTGGTAGGCCGGTAGCTTTGGAAACTGATCGAACAGTAATGCAACAGGATAAGAAAGAGTTACACTTCGTTCACAATGTAATTTCCAACATCAATACTAGAATCAACTTCTTTTGCACATCTCTTTCTGTTGCAACCTATACCTTTTACCACCTTTGAAGGAAACAAATGAGTTGAAATCATAAGAGCATAGGAATTTGTGAAGTAAAATTGCTATGATCATGAACTGAAACTACAGGGGTGCAAACTGAAAAAGGTCGATCAAAGTTATATTGACTTCACCCTTTGAAACTAGCCAACAACGGATTATGTAAGAATCACACATTTATAAAACACTCGACTAATTCAAACAATTCTGATTCCCCGAAACTTTCCTAGATCCCTATACAACTCAAAAATAAAAAGTACTATGTTACATATTTGCACAAAATGGTAGGAACGAAAGGGAAAAGAAATCATTTACAGCTCCTTAGCACAGAATTTATGACAACCAGAAGAACACGTATGCCTGAGGCTTCTGAAGCAGATGTGCTGGGCAGACTCCTTTGATGGACCACTATCTGATAGACTTGATCAAAAATTGGTCCTACATGCATCGCAATCATTGGATCTGTAGGGTTTATGGCAGCAGCCACATCTGTCATCCATGCCAACTTTCTAGAGGTTTCATTACTAAAATCACATGCCAGTTGCTGTAGAAGGGCCAGCAGAACTCCTTGGCTTAAAGGTAGTGGTGAAATTGACAATATACCCTGTAGATCAACCTAGTGAAGACAGCAAACATGTCATGAGTGAAAATTATGCTTCCAACTTTGTATTATACAATGCCTGGCACCGTTTGGCTGATCTAAGCTCAAACAAACCCAACGGTTTAGTATTTTGGTTCAAAATTCAAATTGGCAGGTTAAGAGGAGAGTGTGGCCACAAAGATGATGCAAGAATGGCATCAGAAAGCCAAATCTCACTAGAATAAAAAAAACTTGCACGTGACCCCAATCAGGTAGAATATAGTTGAGTCATGTTTTGCTCGTTTACTCAATCTCTTTACCAGTACAAGCACATGTATGCCAGTCTTTCTATGTAGCTTAACACATGAACACAGCTTACCAGTCCCAAGTTATCTACAAGCACTTCAAAGAAACCAGCCATATTGGAGTTTATCTGTCTACAATTGATGACAGAGCATACCTGAGAACATAACCAGGAAACTATTGAGACATCACTTCTGTGCAGAGCTAAGGTGAACGCTTCCTCATATTTCTGCTCAGCTATCAACCTTGACAATTCTTTTGTTGGATCCAAAGGCACCTCAGGCTGTTGATATCAACAAATACACAAGTCAGATGCAACTAAAAGCTTTGTAACTTCTAATGAAGATAGATCATTTTTACTAAAAGAAAAACCATCACAGCTGTTTAACTGGAAGCTACTCAATACACATTAAACAAAACAAAAAAAAAACCCAAACAATAAACGAAAAGGGCATACCATCTCATGCATACCAGGCAATGGTCCATTGCCCAACTTCGTTGATGGATCTCCCACTTTTGAGTTTGCACCTGCAGCCGCCAAAGCTAAGAGCTGCCGTTGACCATCTGCCAGCTCTCCACTTAAGGTCTGGGTGAGTGATGATGCTGAATTGATAGCATCCTGCAATAACACGTGTTCATATACAAAATTTCAAAAAGCAACTATAAACAGTACAGCATGACATGCACCTCAGTCTAAAAACATCAACAGGTCCATGTAAAGGAAAGCATTCTCTTGTATAGAATTAACCACTTCGATATTTATTGAAATCCTATCATTATAGATACCATGGAAGTTAGTTAACTTGCCACCATAAACATGCAAAGAAATTTAAGGTGGAAAATCTATATTTTAAACTCTCACATGCACCCTAAGGGGAAAAAAAAAAAGGACACGGAATATTATGAACCCAGTACAACAACTAAATATAAATTTTTGTTTGGCTTTATTTTTGGCCAAAATGTGTTGGCTGAACAGCTGGTGTTGGTCATAAGCAGTACCTCCCTGCCACCATAAATTACAGGGAGGCCACCCATAGCAGGAAGACTTACTTATTTATGAAAGGAGATTAAGACTATACTCTACTACTTGTTTCATTGCATATTAGTTCAAAGAAGAAAAACGGATTTAGAATGAGACCTCTCTAATGGTGGAACTTAGTTTTCCATTTGAATGAGGAAAAAATAGCATGAGAATCTTTGAATATTTGATTAGATGCTTTAGAGGTCATTTAGAATATTTTTCAAACTGGCTTCAAATGGAAAAGAAGGAATAATTTCACAATAGACACATTCACAAGAGGGTATTTAGAGATCTAATATAAAGGATCCTGCAGTTCAAGAAAACTAAACACTTAAGGGTGTTTTGAAATTCAGTTATAATATTTTAAACATCTACTTCAGTGAAAATTGAGGAATAATTTCACAATGGGTGTCTTTAGAGATCCAATACTATAAAAAAAGGACCCTTAAGTCCAAGTGTTTAATAGTTCAAAAATTTTCACGCACTAAATTGATACAACAGGCTAATGCCATCAGTTCAAGAAGATATACCACAAAGTAGGATGCATAATTGACAAGTAATAAATAAAGCACAAAAACACATGAATATAGAAGATCGGCAACCTACTACTATACATATCAAAAGTACACATACCCTCAGGGCAATGGCCACAGGAGAATGCATGGAATTAAACTGTTGCTGAATGTCATTTATATGCTTATTAAGCCCATTCTGGAATGTGGCATCGACTTGATCAAACATGGCCTTGCAGGACATCTCAAATGCAGGAATAATTGAAGCTTCCAGTGTAGACCTTAATGCATCCTGCAAATACCAACAATATCATTTTTTTCTGTTTTAAGAAAGAAGCTCCTCATCCTTTGGCTTCTTCAAAAATATTTAACAAATAAGTTTCTTAATACATGTGAAAAAATATATCATCATTCATTCTTCCAAAGAGAAGACAAAATCCCTAAAACAATTGCATAGTCCATCCAAAAGAAACTAGCAGAGTAAAATCACTGGGTCAAAAACAGTCCTTAAAGTCCTACATAAAAAGAGATAAACAAACCTTAACCTACTTGTCATTTAAATTAAATTAAGGTTCATGCAAGTCAAGGTTATTGTTCAAAGATACGGCATCATATGGAACTTCAAATAACCTGAAGAGCTTGCTTGCCAGATGTTTGAAACTGTGATTGGATTTGTCTGGCCACTGTAGCTTCAAGTTTTGAACTAACCGTCTTCTCTAACTGATTCACCGCCTTCTCTCCCACCCCTTTCTGCTAGCACATAAAGAAACCTTGATCATTGATGAGCATACATAGGAACAAATAAGATCGACAGGAATGGGAAGATTATGCTATAATTATCAGCATTTAATGAAACCATCATCTAGAGCAACGATAAAGAAACCTTGATCATTGATGAGCATACATAGAAACAAAAAAGATCGACAGGAATGGGAAGATTATGCTATAATTATCAGCATTTAATGAAACCATCATCTAGAGCAAAGATAACTGGACATCTGTGCATGACTCTATTTTCCAAGATTATGATTAGTGATATAGAGAATAAGCTGCTGAAACAAGAATAGATATGTTGACAAATGAGAAGCTTTGGCATTTAACCTGGAATGACTCTGTAATAGCTGATGATATGCTTTTCTCCAAAATGGGAGTGATAGCACGAGCAACAGCAGGTCCAATTGCAGCTATTTCCTTCTTTAAAGTTTTCTCCAAAGCTGTTGGCAAATCCTTGTTTATACAATTCGTGATCAAATTAGTTAACTGCTGTATACGGTCCTTCTCCAACTTCTCATGTTTTGTGTTTTCTTCTTGAAAACGAGCCCATAAAGAATCTGTGTTAGCCCTGATAATTTTCTCGATGCTCCGGCCCAAGGATGCCTCTAGTCTTTTACCTTCTTTGGAAACTGGGACAGAAATCATTGTATTCATCTGCTTCTGCATTTCTTTCTGCATGTTCAGCAACTGTGCAACGTGAAACAAAAATCATCAGTCTTGAACTCTTCATGAAGGCATCAATCTAAAAGAAAAAATGCATGAACAAAATATTGGATAGAGGAAATCAATAGAGGAGAAAGGTTCAAATCCACACATGTTCTAGCAACATTTAGTTTCAAGAAATGAGATTGGATATGGAAATGAGACAGAAAAAATTAGATGCACAATATAAAGGAGGTGACAAAAAGCTGACAGAAGAAAAAAAAGAGAGGATAAAAAGAGTGATAGTTGATTTTAATAATTCATAAAATATCAAAAGAAAAACAGAAAAAAGTGATATTCTCGAGATGATGACATTCTGCAAGAAGTGTGTTAAGCAATCAACACATGACATCAGAAAAGATAGATCATAGCAGTGAACTGATGTTGGGAAATATTGCATATAGCACGCTCATTGTAACCATAAAATTGCAAATCACATATACAGAACAGTTAATTGAAATTCCAATAACCTGATCAAGAGTATCCTGCAAGGCCATTATCTGAGGTAAAGCAGCATCACTAGATTGGGCACCAGAAGTGCAACCTGGTTCATTGGATGAACCAGTTGAGTTGAATGGACTCGGGGAAGGGGAAGGGGAAGATGGAACAGATACTTGAGAACTTTTCCCCTTCTGTTTTTTCCCTTTAGTTGCTGGGGCTGGGGACTGCGGGACAGCCACAGATATTTCTGCTTCACCACTTTTTGCAGGAACATCTTCAGTTACATGTTGCTCCTCATCTACACCACTAGGATTTCTATCAAGTAACTCAGTAATGCTACCTTCATTAGCTTGTCTGATTGCCCCAACACTATAAGCTTCCACATGACAATCTCTAGCCATCTGAATGCCAAGATCCGAGGCCTGAGAGTAGAAGGGTTTTTCCTTCTTCTCAGCAACAGGTGTATGAGATTCTCTGGGCAAGTCAAAGTCATTATTTTGATTGGTTCCTGACTCTCCCCGTGATAGTTCCCCATCACCATCCAGTTTTGGTGGAGACATGTCAGCAGCATCTTCCCAATCATCTGGCTCGCCTTTATTTTTCTCACTTGCTACAGAGTCAACCTGCAAGGCATCAGCAGATGTCTGTTTCAGGATAGGGCTGGTGCTTTCTGTGGCTTCAGAAGATATGATATTTTCTTTCTTTTCCTCAGGGCCTTTATATGCCCCATGAAGATAAGTAGTCCCAGCAAGATCTGCTTTCAGAAGAAATTCTTCTCTCTTCTTCTTCAATCTAGTAGAGGTACTCTTTGATATAGTAAGCCTAGCAGGTTTTTCTTTGGAACTAGATATTGGGACTGTTCCACTGCCAGGTGTTTCTTCAACAACTTTAACCTCTACTTCAACATTTTCAGTATCATTGTTCACAAGCACATCCTGAATCTTTGCCTCTCCAACATTCAGACCCTGAGCAGTTTGAGAATTCTCAGAAGCAGCACCCCTAGATAATATCTCCGATGGAGTTATAAGATGGGTTGGGTGTTTAAACATTACTGGAGGTTCAGAGACCATTGCAATACCAGTTTGTTCGATGTTCTTCTCACCTTTATTCAAATTATCACCAGTGGAGGTATCATTAATATTTTCTTTCACAGTTTCAATTCTTCGGTCAACTGAATGATCTGGAACAGGCTGGTCACCAGCATGACCACTGAGTTGCACATTGGGATCTGTGATATTTGCTGGACTCTGGAGACCTGACAACGACCGGGACAACTTTGGACTTAACAGTAGATGGGGTGACACAGTGTTAGTATTGTCAGTATTATTGCGTGATGAAACAGTAATAGCCTTGGTTTGCCCACTGGAAGAAGCAATATCTAGCGAGCTACCAACATCAGAAGAACCCAAGCTTTCTGGATGGCTTGCTACAGGAGCACTTTCAGAACTGCTAGGAGTCATTGGTGGTATGGAAGTCATGTTACCTGTGGATATCTCAATGGGTTTACTTCCATGAGATGATTCCATAATAGCAGAACCATCAGAATTAGCAGTATCAAAAGCACGAGAAACATTAGATTCTGTTTTCTCCAAAACCATGTTCTCCAGAGGTGGTGGAAGGCATTGTGACAAGTTCAATGCATATTGCTGAATAGCCTGTGTTTGGACACAGTAAACCTGAACAATATTTTCTCCATTTGGTAAACAATCACTGGTTCCAGTAAGACTCAAAATAGGCATTGTAACTGTAAACTCAGCTATGTAATCCATGCGGGTTGCAGCAGGATAAGGCCCATATTCCAAGTGTACAGCATATATGGCATTCTTCTTGGCATTTGCAAGAAGAAACAGGCTGGCTCGGGGTAGGGCTACAACTTGATTAAAAAATGCATCCTCAGCACTAGATTCAGCTGAACTCTTTAAGGTCAAGGTCTGAGTGCACAGCCATGATTCAGCATCACTAGGTAATAACCAGCCCTCTTCACTAGCGGAGGCCCATATCTTCACTTCCTGATTGAGGGGGCCCTGTACATGGAGATATGTAAGCAAGCATCAATACCTACAACATTGAATATATCATGAAGGAAACCAAAACCTTCAAGAACATGAAAGTGATTTTGACACCAAATTACTGATAAAATAACTGTATCACGATTATCAAAGGGCAGTAAAATATGGCTGAATTACATATATATCAAACTTTTCTTTAGTCATCTAAGAAGTCTAGCATAATTAAGCTCCATCATTGTGAAGAACAGAAAGAATAGGAGCCTACCCCAGTGATAAGAACAATATGATCAGGGCGGTCAGGGGCGGTCAGGAATGCCACAGAATTTACAGGATTGCCATCATGTGGTCTGAATACTGCAAGGGGTACTGCCTTACGGTCTTCCCAAATCTTGACCTGTGGAGCAGATACCGAGTGTTTGGTGAATAAAAACACTAAAAGAATAAGAGAATGCATTGCTTATGATGGATACATTGACAGGTAATTTGATGATATGATCATGAAGAATTTGATTATGGCTTAACTCCTTAAAATGTAACTAAGAGATCTTACAAACACAGTTTGTAATAGACTGTCCCTGCCATAAGTGCACATGTGGGAGGGGGAGTTTGGTTATTGTTTGAGGCTCTGTAACCTTTAGAAACTACAAATGGTACCAGTAGAAACAAATTGACAAACTATAAGACTGTGAGGTAAGGAGGGGAGGAGGCAACAAACCACGCCATCTGTTGAAGCTGAAGCTAAACGGGTGGTCATCCATTGACACATGGACAACTCAGTGACTTCCCCATCATGTTTACCAACAAGCTGGACCCCATCAATCAACTTCTCAATGGGACAAGTAAGAGGTTGCTCCACTGAAAATGCTCCACCTTTTCCAATCTTAATGGTATCAATTTTCAAGATGAGATTTCCAATTGCAACAATCAAAATTTCCTGCAATATTCCCATTCATAGTAAAGATAAAGAAATCCTTAATCAAGACCAGTCCAAGTACTGAAAAACGTGTCGCAATGGGAATATTTATCTGATAACGTGAATATCAAAATCCATTATTACTTGCTTGTGTGGATGCCAGCACACTCGTGGATGGAATGATTCTCCATCTGCTATTATGTGAAGGGCAAGGAGTATCCTTTCAAAAATTTGAGGTTTTTCTTCCTCATCTGAGCCCTCATTGATCTTCCTTATGAAAACACGCCCATCAACACATGCACTGCAGGGATAAAAGTAAGCATCTTCTGTTATTAAATAGGGAAAAATATCAATGCAAAAAGTTACCTGGCCAAAAGGTGAACATCCTCAGCAAAGAAAGCCATGTCTGTTACTTTCTGCATGAGAAAATCATGTATGCTAATGAATTAGATAGTTTTTCTGCAAGCATTTAGAAAATAATAAAAACCAACATTGATCTCAAAGAGAAACAAAAGATGTTGCATAACTAGAAGAAAGATACAATATTTGGCCATTTGGGGTTGCTTCTAAACATGAAAGGACAGCAGAAAGCTAAAGTAATGAAATTAATGAGGCTTACTTTGCAAATCTATCCAGTATCACTGTGTGATTTTAATTATAAGACGCTTCAGTGCTAAGAAAAAATCAGGATTTTATTAAACACATAAGAAATTTTAGCATCTCTTATTAAAGTACACTAAGCAATTAATTGACAGAACTGAAACCAAAAATAAAATCCAGAAGCAATAATGGATAGTGATGCAGTTCTCATGTTAATATCTGTAACGCAATTGTTAATTTGATGTCAGTGTCATAAGTAAGTTTAATTATTTTGGTGTGAAGTTTTTCCTCCACTACTCGATCAGTTGAATATTGCCTGCACTTGATTTGGAGAGAGCAGCTATTGGAAAAAAAACTATCCAAGTATTTCAACATGTCAAAATAAGTTGAGAACAAACATTCTTGCAGTGTGTTCATGTGTAATGGATCATCGAAGGACTTCAAATGCATATTTTATTTACTTCATAGAAATCTGATTTATCAATAATCACAAAGTGAAATTCATTATTGGTTAAGACATTGCCAATTGCTAGGTTACATGATGTCTTAAATGTCAATTTTTAATCAAGTTTAGGTGCATAAAACACAAGATCATAGTGAGACTTTAACAAGTATAAGAATTAACCTGGTTATGTCCACGAAGCAATGATCTCAAAGCAGTATTAATATTGAGGATACGAATAGCACCAGGCTTGAGTCCATAGCAAATGTAATTTCTATTAACAGCAATCTGACGGCCGAGAACAAGGCCAGGATCGGATAAATATTTGGTGATGGGTGTGACTTCAAGTTGAGGTTGCACCTCACCTTGCAATCTCACATCAATATCATACACGACATGGTTGCCATTCAGGTGTCGACCCTTAGGGAGCTTGGTACTGAGCATCCTCGCAGGGGGAGCACAACATTGCTGCGTTGGAGATGCTAAACTAACAGGAGGAGCAGATGGGACAGGAGGACTGGTGGTGATGAATGCAGTTGAGGGAGTGGAAGAAGGGAAAGGTCCACTAAGATTAGTGGATAGCGGAGGCTGCTGTTGGTTTTGATTGGTCAAGATGTCCATCAAAACAGCACCACCTGAATTATTAGGTGAGAGTGGAGGAGGAGAGGGTGCAAAGGAAGAGATGGGTTGTGGTCTATTTTGGAGATGGATATTAGTATTTGTGAGGAACTGATTGTGAAGTTGCTGAGGAGGAGGTGGAGGTGGGTAAGGGGAGAGATAGTGAGGGTGGTGAAAAGGGTGGTAAGGACCAGTAGGAGGTGGATAAGAAGAAGATGGAGTTAGATAAGGTGGAGGAGAGGAAGGGAGAGGGAAGGAAGGAGAGGTAGTGAGATTGCCACTTGTGGTAGTGTTACTACTGGGAGATGGAGAAGGACCTTGCTGCTGCTGCTGTTGGATATGGGGCTGCATCATATTCATAGGATTTGAAGAAGAGGGCTTGAACAGTTTATTCAGATCAAAACCTCCTCCTCCCCCTATTATTCCCCCACCTCCTTGTTGTTGTTGATTTGGATTACCAGGTGAAGCCATTATTAAGCAACAACAAGAAGTGATCTGATAATATAATATACAGTGATTGGAAACAATAAGTCAGATTGATAAAGGAAAAAAGGAAGAAAGAAGCTTACAGAGTGGAGGAATTCCTGGATCCGTTCAAGTTCAAATCTTTTTTCAGATCAGAAAGACAACACACCTTTCTTTCTCCACCTCTCTTCTCTCTCTGTTCTGTCGTCCCAAACTAGGGTAGCGATAGAGTGAGATTTTGGAGACGAAATAGAGAAGGATCAAAGGGGAAAAAACAAGCCTCTTTTATGTTGCTTTGCTCAGATGTGTAGATTGACGCCAATGAACAGCACAGACGTAGCAGACGGAGAGTGGAAAATATGGAAAGAGAGAACCTTTTATTTCATTTGTTAAAGTTGTAATTACCATTACTATTACTAATTTTGTATTATTATTATTATTATTATTATTATTATTATTATTATTATTATTATTATTATTATTATTATTATTATCGTCGTCATCTCCTGTGAGTGTCATCAGCAGAGGTACCAGACATAGCACCCACCTGTCGTTGGTACACGTCACCCAAGTTCGCATCTTTCACTTCTGGAATCACTCACTCATTCAAGCTCCCAGGTTGATCAAATCGTACCTGAACTATTTTCTGTCCTATGTTGACAATAAAATTACTAGGTTGATTTTTCATGAGTGGTCTGGACTTTGGAGGAGAAGGGAACTTCCATCCAAGAAGTTCCTCAAAATGGCCTTTGGTCCTTCGTTCTTGGTGGAAGGTAAGGCAACATAATCGAATTATCCATGCTTTCCAAGCCCTTCCTTTCTCTGAAAGATTATGCATTTATTTATACAAATCCCTGGAGATGAAAACAAAGCTGAAGCGGCCCCACATAAAATCGAAGGATCAACACAAAGGGTAAGACTTTCCCGCATTTTTTTCACAATTAAAGGTTTTATTTCAACACAGATACAGGAGGGCGAAACTAGAACAGCCAGAATGAAAGGAAACGGGAAGCAGATGAGCGGCCGACGGATTTACAATCAATGGACGTGATATCGAGAAGGATTATACATATACGTTAATACCCTGAATAGACACTTCAAGAAAACAAGTCACGATATTCAGACTTGAAAAAATAGGGGAGATCTTAAACACAAAAGGTGTAAATTGGTCGCGTTCAAGTATAGCAAATGGGTCTTCAATTTCAACTGCAACAGCCTCCAGCTTGGGCAGAAGCACCATCCCTGCCTCCTGATGACCCTGGAATTCCTCCATATCCAACTTTTATCCCGTAAGACTGCAGAACATCCAATAGAATATCAGCCAAACTACTTTCAATTTTATCTAATAATATTAGTCAAAAAATGGCATCAGTATAGAGCATGCTTCAAAATTGTATGTGCAGATTGAAAAGCTAAGTTGGCAATGGATTGAGCTCTTGAAAATTCAGAAACCAACACTTAAAAGATTGATAAGAAACCTTAAGGAGTCCTGCTACGTAACTGTCAGGGTGCCAACTGACGTCACTCGTATCTTTTCATGAGAAGAACAATATAAAGAGCAATGTCCAAGCAAGCAAAGCTAATTAAAAGCTTCAAATAGCTAACAAGTGGAAAACAGCCAATTGAATAGAGGCGAATGAGTGTACGAAGGAAGCAAAAATCCAAATAGAATACCAGCCAAATCATTTACAACTTCCATTCAATAATAATTGAAGATATGAATGCCAGCATCATGTCTCTACTTGAAAATTAACCATGCTTAAAAAACGGTGTACAATGCAAATCAACAATATAAGATGAAAACGTTTTGAGGTCAGCAAAACTTGCATGTCAGCAACATGAAGATCGAAATAAGAAAAATATTTCAATTTGGAAACCCTTGTAGAACATAATTTCCAAGTTGCCCCATTAACATTTGAAAATCCAGATCTTGTCATGAGAAGAACAACATTAAAAACAAACAATCAGAATGAATATAGTTAACCTTCAAAATTAAAACTTGCAGATGGAAAATATAAAGCAGCCAGAAGCTTCGGTAAATGATGAGACTTCTAGAAAACATATTAGAAATATGGATATAACTGTGCATAATAAACAGGTCTAACCTCATTTGATACATCAAAAACTCCATCTTGAATCTTCTTATATATAGTTGCAGCTGTTTTGATAAAAGCCTGCACAAAGGATGTTGCTATAAGAAAAACTTGACAAACAAATAAGAAAAACTTGACAAACAACAAAGAAACAGTCTATAAGTGTTTCAACGCATAGGTCATCCTATGTTCATTACTCACCTCCTCGACATTCTGAGCAGTTTTTGCAGAGGCTTCCATGAAGATCAAGCCATGCTCCTTTGCAAACTGCTCACCTTCTTCAGTGCTGACAGCCCTTCTATGAGCAAGATCAGACTTATTACCAATGAGCATAATGGTCATGTTTGCATTGGCATGCTGCCTTGCATCTTCCAGCCAGCTCGCCAAGTGATTAAAAGTTTCCCTCCTGAATAAGAAACCAGATATCATTCAGGGCTAGCTTAGGGTACAATATAGTGATTGAAAAAACAGAAACGCACACATTTGGACGCCAAATCAAAAGGGCTTCATCTGTGTCATGAAATTACTTGATTATGATGCCCAGCGTAAGAGATCAGGTGGTGGTGGTTTAAATTAAGGAAAAGCAAATGAAGAAGAAACCCTAAATTGTATATGAAAACAATAGAACCCATTTTGAAAATTTTGTTTAATTAGGTACCTAGCTAGCTGGCTACAGCAGCAGCACAAGTTACAATATCATCTTCTTCAGAAGAAGAAACAAGCAAAAAAGCATTATAGTTATAGCATAAAAGAAGAGGATAGGGAGCGAGAGGGGTCGGTACCTGGTAATATCATAGACAAGCAAAGCGCCGGCAGCACCTCTGTAATAAGACCTGGTTATGGATCTAAACGATTCTTGACCCGCCTAAAAATCATAAAAATCGGAGATTTAAACATAATTATCGATTTGTTCTATAAGAGAAGAGAATTGGAATTAGAGAGAGAGAGAGAAGGGAACGAACGGTGTCCCAAATTTGGAGTTTGATAGGCTTGTTATCAATGGTGATCATACGAGCCCCAAACTCAACACCGATGGTAAGGTCATGTACCGGCTGGAATCTCTTGTCCGTGAATTGCAGCAGCAAGCACGATTTCCCTACTCCTGTTCATTCAGTTTTTTTAGAATTTAAATTTAATAAAAAATCATCATCAAAATTAAGAATTTAAGAGGCAAAAAACGAACCAGTGTCGCCGATGATGATGTACTTGAATAGATAAGCGTAAGACATTTTTCGAATAATAAAAAAATGAAATATGTTTAGTTTTTTTTGGAGGTATTAATAAAGAAGAGGACGACCAAGCAGAGAGAGAGAGAGATTGGATGCAAATTCCAGCGATGCACAAGCTTAAATTAGATTACTGTTATTAAATAATCACGACTGGAGGAGGACGACGACGGCGACGACTTCCGCACCCTTCCTTCCTTCTGGACCTCGCTGTCTTTTCCTCTTTCACCGGATTTTCTTTTCGTTTCTTTTTTCCTTTAATTTATTATTGTTATTATTATAGTTTATTTGGTCGCTCTCTCACCTCACCGTCTTCCTTGCATTCCTTGCGCAGAAGAAGCCCAATGGCCCGTTATCATCAAACTTCACTTCCATGCCCTGGAGTTACTCTTCTTACCACCTCTAAACCAATCTTAATAACATACAGTAGTTTGTTCATTATGCTAAGATTTTTAATTCAAGAATCACATGTTTGCTTCTCATTACAGATGCTTCTCCGTATTCCTTAACAATCAATTAATTACAGCTAAATCAGTCATTATTATATACATGTACATGCCCTGCCCATGCAGATTGCAGGCTCTTTCTTAATTATCACAATAATCTCTAGGCCCCCCCTCCTCAGTACCATATATCCATGTCCCAACCGCTATTATTGGAGGCATCTATGGTTACTGTCACCAATTTGTCCTCTTCTTTGTACTTCATTTCTTCTTCTTCTCCATTTATGGAGCAACCCTTTGGCTTCACACTCGAGTATCCACCAAAACTACCTGCCCCTCTTCCCTTTATGTGTATTCTTCCATTATAGCTTGATGGATCACCACACTGCTCAACTGACTCTATAGCTCCACCACTGTTGTACATGTTCATCAATCCGATGGGTGCGAACTCAACCCTCTGAAAGTAAACCTGCGAAACCATCGATTGAAATTTAATTTACCAATGTAATGCATGTGAGCTGAGTGCAAGAGATTTCGTAGACCAATAATTAACCTTGATAGGTGATACAGTAAAGACATCACATTCCAGAGTTTGTAATCCAATACCAAACTTTTCTTCCTTCGGTAACCGTGACAATGATCCTGAAAAATTGAGAACATTTTGCCTGTCAGCAGATTGCTGGGGTGACCACTTGTGGTTACTTGTATTTCAAAATATTAGAAACATGTGAGTCCCTTGGATTCTCCCAGGGAAAAAAAAAAAAAAAAAAGGGAACAGAGAATGCTGTGAGTGAGATCCTTATGTTGCCTGTGATAAAAAAATGTGGCAGGAAAAGGTTACCTTTATTGAAAGAATAGATTGCACAATCTCCGGTCCACAGTTTCCCAGAGACCTCTTCGAAATACTCAACATCAGCAGGAGAAACCTGTCCAGATATCTCTGCACTATTACTGACATGATTCTGGTTTGTGTTATCCAGACAAGGCCAGCTTCCTGCTCCTTGGCAGTTGAACACACCAATAACTCCAGTGCATTCGTTCAAATTCCAAATCTTCAGAAGACTTGATTTAAAAAATTCCCAGAATGTCAGGAGGAGTGAATAAATAAGTGAATTGAATTTCCATGCAAGTAAAGTGAGAAAGGCACCTCTTCCCATCCATAACTGGGTCAATGAATAAACAATCTCTTGATGGTCTTCCTGGATATTTGGCTCTAAGCACTGATCCATCAGGAAGTACAAGCCTCTTGAGTATCTTGTGATCATGCTCACCAGGTTTATCACTGTTGACAATTCATAGCAATATTGTTCAGCTTTTGCAAGATAAACCATTATGAATGTGAAAAGTAGGGGAAAAAGAATTCTGAAACTACACAAATCTTACCTGACATAGACAGGACACCCTCCCACAGCTCTAGCGATGGCATGAAATTCAGCTGCATCATGGAGGCTCTGCAAGTCGATGAGACGTTCATAGACTATCAGAATTAGAAATTAGTTGTAGAAGATTTTAAAGATGAATGATGAGTAACTCCAGACATACATAGAACATATCCCAATCTGGAACAACAACTTCGCCAAGAAATATGCTGTTAAAAGCCACAGCAGCTAT